AGTCTACATTTTAATGAGTCAGCTTCCATAGGCTCTCCTCAATATGTGTGATTAGGCAGCCAGTCTGGGACTCCATTAAGGTCCAGAAGCCTAGATTCCAGAAATATGAAGTCTTGTTGTATTGTGCCCTGTCCAGATCACATTAAGGGGTGCTCAGATCTGGGGACCAACGTTTATGAAAGATGTTGATCAGCTGGAGAACTTCAAGAGAAGGGCAGTCAGAATGGTGAAGGGCCAAAGAGAACCATTTGGGGTATTTGGGCCAGAGATTAAAAAAATTGCCAGGGGAATAAGAGGGTCAAGCATTCAAAGGCCTGTCATGTCGAAGAGGCATTAGATTTACTCCATTTGGTCCCAGAGGGAAGAATCAGAAGCAATGGGGAGAAGTTGTAGAAAAGGCAAATTGAGGCTTGATAGAAAGAAAACTTTCCTAATAATCAGGAAATGGCCTACCTTGAGAGAGTCTGTCTCCTCAGAGCTCTTCAGAGCAGAGGCTAGACAGTCACTTATCCATTGAGTCCTAGTGAGAATTTTTTTTTTCCAGTTTTAGGTTAGACCAGAGGTCTAACTGCCAAGGTTCCTTCCAAATCTGAAATCCTAAGCTTCTGTGATCTGGAGAAAGAAAAGTGTGAGTCACTGGGTCATCAGAGTGCATGCTCTGCCTCCAGCTCTCCCTCTACCCCCAGGCACAGAACTGACTTTAGAACCGACTTATTTTAGCACATGGACCCACACTGGGCAATTAGGTGACCTAAGAGGAGGACCAGATTCCAAAGCCTGGGGTTGGGCTAAGAAGCAGCAGGTTAATAACACATTTGGTATTTGCAGACCTTTCTAGGCTGTCAATGCTAGTATATTTGGATTATATTATGTGATGTTCACTATTTAAAACTCTAATCACAAAGTTTAATAAAATTAGAAAGCTGGAATGATTCTTTCAGGTAAAAGATGGCCTGAAGGGTGTTCTCCTCCATACTCTCAGATGCAGGGTTACTTTCTACTATTTAGGCTTGGGTTCTGTTATACCCAAGGATTCTACTCTAAGTAAGTTAGTATGAAGGTGGACCGCAGGATGGATGGGTAGTAATTCTTGTCCCTTTGTCTTACTTTAGCCAAGGAGTGAACTAGACCTCCAGGGAACATTGTGGACCAAGCTCATAGCCATATGTTCTCCAGGATTGATCCTGCTGGCCCATTTATAATATCATTGCAATCTACCTGTAAAATCAAGGTTAGGGAGGAAGGCTGGCATAATGAGCAGAGCGCTGGACCTGGATTCCAAAGATTCCAAGGTCTGAGTTTCTGCTTTGACTTTATCACTTACTAGCTGTGCAACTGTAGGCAAAAACTTCTCTCTGGGCCTCATTCTCACCATCTGTGAAATGAGGGGGTTAGACTGGCATCGCTAAATGAACTTTAAGGTCCCTTCCAATTCTAACATTATGAAATCCCTAATAGCACTGACATTTTATGAATCATTTCCTTTAAACCACCATAATATAGCTTAAACCAAGTTTATTTTCCTTGAATTTCTTTAAAGGAAAAAAAAATCACTTGACACCTTAAAGTCCACTAAGTAGATATAGATGGCTTTATTGGACACCAAAAACAAGCAAACAAACAAACTTCATATCTTCTACTGTATAGAAGCGAGATGTTCAGAAGAGGGCAACCAGAACGGTGAAGGCCATGGATTCTTGTTCTCTCAAGATCGGCAGAAGGAACTGGGGACATTTAGCTAGCAAAAAGAAAAATGTACTGGGGGAGGGGAGTGTGAGTTTGGTCTTCAAATATTTGAGGGACGGTTGTGAAAGAGGGATTTAACTTCACTTTAGGAATAATAAATGGAAGTTTTAGAAAGGCAAGTTTAAGCTTCATGGAGAGAAAAAAATTCTCAGCATTTAGAGCTGTCCAAGACTAGAACAGGTTACCTTGGGAAGTAATGTGCTCTTGGAGATCTTTCTCGAAACAAGACTGGCTGACTGCTTGTGGAGGGGTCCTGCTGAGGCTGGGACTGGACCGGATGAGGTCTGTTCCAGTTCTGGGTGGCATGCTATAGTTCTCACTGACAGTTTCTGGAAACTTAATACGGAAACAGAAGGATTTATGATGATTGTTACCGCATAGGGCCTCAGTTTCCTCATTTATAAAATACGGATTGGACTAACTGATCTTTGTGGTTCCTTCACCTTCTGAGGCTACCAACTAGGGATCTATGTTTTAGAACAGGTGACAGAATTGTGATTCCAGGGATTGAATATCCAATTTGTAAAAGGAGAGAGATGAAACACTGAGCTACCTTTCAAATGATATAGTTTCCCAAATTTTATTTCTTCTGCTTTGATCCTGATGAAACAAAGCTTAGGAATTGAGTGAGTCGGTTTCTGTCCTGTCCTGGAGTAATGTTGCCTATTGCCTTCATGAGGCACTATATGAGAGATGTCATCCTCTTTAATGTGCCATGGCCACAGGCTGCATTGAGTTCTTGTTCACCAGGACAGAACTTCTTTTACTGGATGGAATTGACACATGGAAGAGTTTGACAAGGGGAAGAAAACCAAATGATCTTCACTGGAGAAATGCAGAGACCCTTCAGAGAAGCCTTGCCTCCCGACCTGGGCGCTTTTTAGAGGCGGGCCACCTAGACCACAGCAACTGGAACAAAAAAGGGGCCTACCATTTTTTTCTTTATACTCAGCCATCCCTAGATTTTTGACTCTGACCCTTACACATGTATTTGTCTAGCCCCTGAGTCATTGCACAGTATTTGCAGTATTGTGAAACTTTCATTTCTTTGGAGACTTGTTATATTAGAAAAATTGTTCCAAAGAAAGCAACAATTATGACATAAGCACATCTGGCTCTTGCAAATTATTCCTTATTAAGCTTTCATTTAATTACATGTGCTGAAAGGTCTGCTTTTGATTACTGTAATTTTTTTTATTTGTCCATCTGAATGATAGTAATGTTGGAAATTACATACAAACCACCTGGTTTTTTTCCCCCCTTTCCTTTCCCCACCCCCATAACTAATAAGGCAAAGTTTTAACTGATTTCCATGTGGTTGAAGAGGCAGGCTCTTCCTTATGTGAGATGGATGGAGCCTTTGCCACTGGTAATTCAACGTGAGGATTTAGTTGTTCTTAATCAGGAAAGAAGACTTTTCAGTGGATTTCCCAAGCAGTCATCCAAGTGCTCATTGCTGCCCCAAAGTTCATCTCTTTGCTGCCCATAGTTCTGGGTGATGCTGCCTGGATTTGGCTCATGGAACACCATCATTTCAAAAGAATCATAATTGCATGTAACCCAAAGAGCAATGGGAAAAAAATAGGAATGGTGGGTGTAGTCAGGTTGCAGGGTATTACCAGTGAAGACTTGCGCATGGTATAAAAATGCATCATCAACACCCATGACTATACAGAAAGAAGTAGGCTTATCCTATAATATTACTAATAACAGCAGTCATGAGAACTCACATTTTCTGTAGTGTTTTAAGGCTTGTGAAAAGTTCTCCTCACAACAACACTGAGGTAGGTGTTGCAATATTATTATTTCCATTTACAGATGAGGCTCAGAGAGGTTTAGTGACCTACCTATGGACAGCAAATATATAATCCAAGTATCTATATTCATGGTATCCAAAGAAGAAAGCCTCCATTATAGTGTATTGGATATAGGGGTATTTGTGGAAAGATATAGACAAGAATTGTATAGGGTAATAGGATTTTAGAACTGGAAGGGACTAGATTATTTGGTCTAAACCCCTTTTTTACAGGTGGGGAAACTAAGACCCAGAGAGGCTAAATAACTCACCCAAAATTACACAGAAGCAGAGCCATAATTTGAGCCTAAGTCCTTTGTCTCCTAAATCCAATGGTCTTCCCACTATATCATCTTGTCTCCTTCCCTGAGAAGGCAAGGTTGTAATTTGCACTGATTTGAGGGATCGAATGGACTGAGGCACAATATTCATACTCCTGAAATAGCAGATCCATTGAAATTATCACAATATCCGAGGTAATAAATTGTATTAGGTATATTTAGCATTATGGGAATGGAACATATATCTTTTTCAACTTTGACTTCAATAAACATAGCTTTGTTGTAAAGTTAAAATTTGTGAATGATGAGTGTACAGATTCCAGTACCATGCAGGTCAAGTTGAGTGAATAAGAAACTCATCCAGCTTCCTTAGGAAGCCTGTCAAAGGAAGACCCAAAGCAGAAAGTACTCTAGAGGGAGAGGTGATTGAGCAAAAAGGCAATGGGAAGGAGAGGGAACCCCTGACTTTCTCAGCTGATTACAGTCTGGAGGGAAGGAAGTAAGGGAACAAATTCCATTGACCACGAGATAGGCTGGCTAGATTACCAGATATTAGTTCCTTTGTCTGAGGGGAACACCTTTCAGTTGGTCCTTTGGCTTGGAAAAAAAGAATCACACCTCAGAGCAGTTATGCCAAGTAACACAGGGTCCTTTCCCATTGCTGAGGGCCCTCCTTCAGGTGATGTGGATGGGAAGAAATATGCTTTGAAAAGGAAACTGCACTTCCTTTCAGATATCAGAGGAAATGGGAGGAAAAGGGGCTTAACCGTGGCCTACTTAGAAATGAGGCCCTTGAAAACCTAGTAACTCCCTGTGGGTTTTGGGATCCAGGAAGAAGAATGAATTCTGTGGAATTGATTCTCTTTCAATGTTAGTGATAATTTCACCTGCAGAGTTGAGTCTGGCCCAGCCTGTACAGAGTGGGAAAAGTGAGTGATGCTCTCACTGTACATTGAAGTCTTGAGAAAGGTTCAGCCAGGCTTCTCAGCAGGGGATTCAGGAAGCTCACATAGCCAAGCATGTGAGGAAAGATGCCCTTTTCTCAAAACACCTAAGAAGAACAAGGTGGTGAAACTCTCAGGAAAAAAAAAATTAGTATCTAAGAACTTGATACCCTGGTAAGTCTTTCCAGTTTACCCCCATTGAGGAGAGAAATGTTTGCCTTTCCTATTTTGCAGCAGCTCTATGCGGCCCAGCTGGCCAGCATGCAGGTGTCACCTGGTGCAAAGATGCCGTCTACTCCGCAGCCACCAACCGCAGCAGGGGCGGTCTCACCTACTGGGATGAAAAATGAAAAGAGAGGGACCAGCCCTGTAACTCAAGTTAAGGTACTGCCTCTTGTGGGGGTAGAGGGAAAGGGTTTAGAAAATGGCACTGAAAGAAGCCTAGAAGCCTAATTTGTGTTTCAGAGTGAACTGCGGGGAATCTAGCCACGGCAAAGAAGCCTGCAGTAGACATCCATTGTGGTCAATTTCATGAGCATATTGACAAACAGGTGTTTCCCTATTGAAAACACTAGTGCCGTATTGTGAGATCTTTACTCAGATTTCCATATTCAACTCTGCAAACTTGCTTCTCAGGAGCATCTTTCCCTTTCCCAGAATTTTGGCTTTTATTTTAAAATATTCGTGAGTACAAATGGCAGGTTTTTAGTAGGCCCACAAGACTTAGCTCCACGCTTCTCAGATATGTGCCTGTTTCCTTCTCATGGATAAAACTGGAACAGGAGGAGCCCAGGTCCAGCCCATCCATGCTTAGGAAGTTGAAGGGAAAAGATTCTAGGCTGTGCTTTCTCAAGTTGTGAATATTTCTCACCATAACCTAGTATAAATATGGTCCTTGGGGAATGAGGAGGAGTGGGTTGTGCCATCAGCCATCCCTCCCCAAACTCTGGAGGACTGCACAGAGCTGCTGTGTTCTGATGATCTAGACTGTGGCCAGATATGCTTCCTTGTGAGGGAGCCACACAGGGCATGGCAGCAGCATAGAAATAACAACTTCATGGTGCAGCTGGTACCTATAGGTGGTACTGGTTCCTTTTATTATAGTATTTGCTTCCTTCGTGGGATTTCTAAAGCCAAACAGACCAACAGAAATGCATGTGCTTGGTAAAATGTCCTGTTCTGTGGAGAGAATGTAAAGATCAAACATTGGAATCAGGAAGACCTGTGTTCAAATCTTACCTGACACATACTTATTGTGTGATTATGGATAAGTCATTTAATGCATTAGTTCTTCAGGCAACTCTCTAAGATTATATTTTGCAGATGAGTTGAAGATCTGCACCAGTGAAGAAACTTTCCACACCAGGAGTTCCCTTTGATGATGAAAAAACAGGTTCAGATGTCTGTTGCCCCACCCCATCAAGACTCCAAACCCAATCCATTTAATTAGAATCCTGTGAGAAAAAAAAATAAGTAGTCCACACACAGCTTTTACCCCATTGTTCCAAATACTGGAATTTGGTGACCAGGAGCTCTGAAAATAAGTCTGTGGCCAGTTCCCATTTCATAAGACAGCCCTGATTATGGGTCACCCCCATCTCATTTATTCACATCCTCTGTGTTCACATTGGCAAAGGAGAGGCAGAATGCTCCACTGGGAAGCTAGACCACTTTGTTTAACTGTAGTTGCCATAGTGTGAGAGATATCAAACACCAGTGACTTGGTATATTGAATATTGAGTACTTTAATGAGCAAAAGTCATTTCACAAGTGAGCCAGCCAAATGGATCTGTCCCAAGCCAAACCTTTACTGGATGAGTAAAATTTTCCCTGGTTATATTAAGCATATATCTGCTGGAATGGAAGCCAGTACCATTCCAACTTTGTTGGCCAGCTGAATTCTATTACAGAGTTGACCACATGCAAATTCTTGGGGGTTTCCCTACATAATTTAACTCAACTATATTTTATTCTACTAAAAAGGAAGCCTTCTCCTTTATATTTGTTCCATTTACATGTAGCATTATAGAGGCAAAAAAAAAAGATAAAAGACTCAAAGTAAAAGTTGTTGGGGGAGGGGAGAGGGCTACTTACGCCTGAGAAGAATATTATCCTTCTTTGTCCTTGAGAATTGTGAGGCTGCAGCGTCATGTGCTGTGTCTGTCTAACTGAGTTGGTATTAGGGTGGATTTATTTGCACATGCTTTGGGATGGATCTTCATTTAAAATTCCAGAATCAATGTCCCAAGGGCCGCTTGACTTTGTGACTGATGCCACAAAACAGTTTGCCAAAGGTTTCAATTCAATCCATGTTCAATACAACTAACACTGAAAAAGTGACTACTAGGTTCCAGGTACTGGGTGTGCAAAGACTTAGAAATAAGACAACCTGAGATGACGCTCTGTTGAAAGCCGTGAGGAGAGCCTCCCAAATGAATCAGGAATATTTTGAAAGCTGCATTAGCATAGGGAGGGTGGTTGAAACACAATTGCATGGGATGATGCTAAGTAAAGGTAAGATGGATGTCATAAAGGGTGTTCTTTGGTGAGAGGGGGAAGAAATACAAACTTTTGTTCATTGAGATGGGGACCCTGAATGATAGACTTGGACTTAGGAAGATGCAGTTCAATCCTGCCTCAGGCACTTATTAGTTGTATGACCTTGGGGAAGTCACTTCATTGTTGTTTGCCTCAGTTTCCTTATTTGTAAATTGAGAATAATAATAGCTTCTTTTCAGAGTTGTAAGGATCAAATGAGATGAAATGTAAAGCACTTTATAAGCCTTAAAAATTTTGTATTACTACTACTACCACTCCTCCTCCTCCTCCTCCTCCTGCTGCTGCTGCTGCTATTACTACTACTACTAGCACCACTACTACTAATACTACTACTTTTCCAAAACTCCTTTGGCTTAAAAGTGATGGGGAAGAAATCTTAATTTCGTAAATGATTATATTTAAAAATATGCCCTCAAGCTTTTCAACAAAATTCAGTCTATTTCAACAATGACTCTAAGCGTCTCTACAGATATTGGTGAACTCTGAGAAATCAGAGTATTCAGATAGTTTGATGCCTTAGTTTTAATTACTACCAAGCGAGCACCAACAGTGAGTCAGGCTGACCAGTGCTTCTTCCTCCAGAGGAGAGCTAACTCAGTGCAGCCCAAGAATCCTCCTTCTTTCCTCTCTGGGTTCTCTTTGCTCATTCCCTTGTGCCTTGTCTGATCTGGAAGGGCCCTTTGGATGGTTCTAACACCCTTATTTTAAAGATGAGGAAACTGAGGTGTAGAAAGGGAAAGTGACGGTTGGCTAGTGAAGGCCAGGGCTAGGCCTACTTTTTACGTGGTTTGGGGCACGGGAAGGGGGGGGAGGTAATTCTCTGTCCCCAGTCCTGCTGTGTGCTCTGAACAATGATGGTGAAAGCCTTTAACTATAGATAGCTCTCTCTCAGACCCCAGGGGCCCTAGCAGCATGGGACTCATTATTCCCCAGGGACTTTTCTTTTAACATATAACAAAGCAATTCTTAGTTCTGAACATTTAAGTGAAAGTCTATATAATGTATGGAGACTCCTTTCCTCTCCCATGGCACCCCTCCCACCTCTTACTCATTAGAGTACTTTTGCATTGGACATTCTCCAGCTGAAGAAGTAGGCTGAAAGAGAGGCTCTTAAGGCCTAGCTGAAATAGAATTAAAAGTGAGACGTTTGTCCCATGTTCAGTGCAGAAGGGACACTGTCTCAAAATAAACATCCCATTAAAAATCAGCAGTGCAGAATATAAAGTGAGAGAAAGACATTGTTTTCAGCATGTAAAATAAATTGCATATAGCATGGCATGTAAAATGTAATTACAGTGTTTGCTTGCTCTTTTTAAAAATTAATTTTAAACATGGGGAGAGTCCAGAATATAGACCATGAAGAGTGCACACACCCAGAAAGCCACACGGGAGACACAGCCAAGCTGAAGTGTCCTGGGCAGGGGCCCAGGAGGTAGGAGTGGGGTGGGGGGTGGAGAGCTTGCCATGTTTCCATTTTTAAAAGACTCACAATTGTTTAATCTAAAATTGTGATTTGGAAAAAAAAAAATTAGCCACAGAGCCTATTCACAGTCCCAGGATCTTTACAGGGAGAACATGCACAGAAGCACGGAGGCGCTCCTAGAAATTTTAAATAATTCTTTGTAAATGCCCTAGGTTAATTTGGATCTCTGAAAACACATTAGGAAATTAAGCTGTAATGTGAGCTAATTCAAATTTTAATTTGGCAAAAAGAATGATCCAACTGCATAGTTAATGTAAATAGAAGCATAACACAGGGAAATTAATGAGGTTTCCTTTCGATGAATCTTCAAGGAAGTAGATAATTAGCTTCTTTTGTTATTATTGGAGGAGAATGTGGCATTGTCTCCGAGGTGTAAAATAACTGTGGCTTACTAAGTGATAATGTGTTTCATTTGTCTTGCTTTTTTTTCCCTTTTTAATAATTATTTATGTTAAACTCTCGCAGGATGAAGCCGCACAGCCCCTGAATCTCTCTGCCCGACCCAAGACAGCAGAGCCGGCAAAGTCCCCAACATCTCCCACTCAGAGCCTCTTCCCAGCCAGCAAAACCAGTCCAGTAAACCTGCCAAACAAGAGTGGCATTCCCAGCCCCATCAGAGGAAGCCTAGGAAGAGGATCCTCTTTAGGTAAACGTCAGCTCGGGGCCCATGGCAAGAACAATGGCCTCCTGAAAGCCTGGTGCTCCTGTCCCAGTGACCTCAGAAGAGTCATTTTATATGTTTCCTCCCCTTTCAAATGAGGGACTTGGATTAGATAGACTAGGGTTAGTTGCCTTTCAGTGCTAAGCCCCAAGGTCCTACAAGTTTGGATTGGAACTCAGTAGTGGAAAGAGGGCCAGTGGCTGGGTTCGAATCCTGGCCCCATGATTTACCACCTGGGTGATCTTGGGCAAGTCTCTGTTTGCTTGTCTGAAAAATGAAGGGCTTGGATGACATGCTCACAATCTGTGCATTTGTAAGGAAGGAATGTAGGAAATGAAAGAAAACAAGCTTTAGGTTCAAGTTTCAGATCTTTCATGATAACACCTGTGTGCCTTTGGGCAACTCATTTTGTCTCTCTCTAAGTTCCCTCACTTATCAAATGAGAGACTGAGCTCAATAATCTGCAAGGTCTCTTCCATCTCAAAATCCTTTGTAAAGGGCCGCATTATGGGCTACCTCACTCTAATCCCCTGTAGTGACCCAAGGGGAGGTGGAGACAGAGCCTAGCTATCCCCTAGACCAGCTCGTTTATTCCTCTGGGAAAGCAATGTGGGCGTTTTCAGTATCTGAGTCAGGATGCCATCACATTAGGCTCATCTGATTAAAAGGTTTGGTTTGAGAGAAGAGGGGCAAGGATAAAATGTTATTTTAATCAGAATACAATCAACATGCAAATGTCCTGGGGAACATTTGATGTGTAGTTTTATGTGTGTATTCGATGGAGGATTAATCCACAATAATGGTGTGTGGATGCACGTGGGTAGGAATGATCTTTTCCCTTCAGAAACTCTAGGGGAAAAAAAAGAAAGAGGAATGGGTCTCAGTGTGTCCTAGTGGGAAGAAAACTGTAGTTAGGGAGGCTGCTTTGGAGTCAGGAAGACCTGACTCTTTTACACACACACACACACACACACACACACACACACACACACATACACACACTGGCTGTATGACCCTAGTCAAGTCATTTAACTTTTCAGTGACCCTAGACAGGACTTCTTAACGTGTGTGAGTATGTGTGTGTGTGTATGTGTGTGTATGTGTGTGTGTGTGTGTGTGTGTGTGTGTGTGTGTGTGTGTCTGAAAGAGAGAGGGAGACAGACAAGACAGACAGAGACAGAGACAGACAGACTCCTTTGGGAGTCTGGTGAAGCCTGTGGATTTCTTCTCAATAATATTTGTTAACTACATTCATCATTGAAGGAAGTACTATATTTTGGTTAGAGGTTAATAAAAATAATGATGTATTTATTTTTTCTATCCAAGTTCACAAAGCCCTTGAGATTTATCTGTGGATCCCCCAGGTTAAGAATCCCTGCTCTAACATTAAACTACAGAACAATTGCTGATCTGCGTTTTGTTAGATGGAGTTTTCTCATTGAGTGTTCCCTATACCAACAAAATCACAGATCCAGTCTGAAAAAAAAGTATCAGAAACCTGGGGATAAAAAAATAAGTCTCTTGTCCTTCTAAAATTTATATTTATTTGTATCTATTTATATGCTAAATGGTTAAGTTGATTTTTTTAATTACTCAGAGTTAGGTTGAGAATAACATGGGAATTCTTAACCCCTCCCCACATGGATGTGTGCATGTATACACGTGTGTACACCAGCATATGTCCCTACCCTCCAACCCCTCCTGCCCAGTGTGTTCTTGTATGCACTGCCAGCTGGTTTTTCCCAGCTGGCTGGCTGGTGTGGTGACATTAAGTTTGAACATGCATGCGTCTGTCTGTCTGCTGGGGAGTGCTTGAGCTTGGCTGTAGACAGGTGGATCAAGTTAAAACTTTACCACAGCCGCCTAAACTTACTAGGCGGTGAATAATTGCTATCTTTTGGTCTAAAATTGGAAAATCTTATCCAAAGTACTCATCTTGCCTACAATAAAAATGAAACTCATGGAGGAAAATTAGTTTGTTTGATATAGATATTTCTCCTCTCTCTCAAGATCTTTTTTCCTCTCTGTGTCCCATGGATGGCAAGGAGAGTAAATATTGAGCCTCCCTCCCTTCCCAGCTTTGTCCTTCTGTTAATGCTGTGCCCACGCAGGAAGCCCTGCTGCTGTTCCAATGGGGGCTGAGAGCAGCAAGTGTTGGGGTTGGGGGTGGGGCAGGCAGGGACTGGCTTTCTCTTTGTAAATAACTTAGGCAGCATGATCTGTAGAATGCCTCATTAACTATCTGCAGCAGTTTGGAGATTCATCCTGGCTTCAGTAGGGAGTGCTACGGATCACCTCCCTCCCTTTCTTTCCTACACTGGTTGGACTGATTGACTCTCTCTCCTCTCTCTCTCTCTTCTCTCTCTCTCTCTCTCTCTCTCTCTCTCTCTCTCTCTCTCTCTCTCTCTCTGTCTCTTGGTCTCTTTCTGTGTTTCTCTTGTATATCTGTCTCTCCCCCTTCCTCTTCCTTTTCCTCTCCCTCTCTTTTTCTCTTTACCTCTTCTCTTGTTGACTCATGAGCACATCCTTGATGCTTTCCCATGGGATACTGAAGACAGCTCTCCTACAGCACGCACACACACACACACACACACACACACACACACACACACACACACTTTCATATCAAAATGTAGAACTAATCATCTTCAGAGGTAGAGAGAATTAAGGTTGGCCTCTGGGTATGTGCCATAGTGCCAAACTGGCATAGTAAAAGCTAGGTGGGCCAAGAGTGCTAGGAACTCCCCAAGTGGATAATAATAATAATAATACTCTTAGCACTAAAGATGCCACATGGTATAGTGAGTTTGTACTTATAGGATTGGACTTAAAATCAGCAAGACTCAGGTTAGATTCTTTCCTCAGACATTTGCTAGCTGTCTGACCCTGGGTAAGTCATAACCTCCCTGAAATAATTTCCTCATTTGTAAAATGGGAGTGAGGGCAGCTAGGTGGCTCCATAGTGCCCAGAGTCAGGAAGACTCATCTTCCTGAGTTCAAATCTGGCCTCAGGTGCTTTCTAGCTGTGTGACCCTGGGCAAGTCACTTAATCCTGTTTGCCTCAGTTTCCTCATCTGCAAAACGAGCTGGAGAAAGAAATGGCAAACCACTCCAGTATCTTTGTCAAGAAAACTCCAAATGGGGTCATGAAGAGTTGTATAGGATTGAACAACAACAAAAGCATCCACCTTGTAGATTGTCATGAAGATTCAAATGAGACAGCATATGGACAGCACTTTGCAAACTCTGAAGGGTAAATATCTGTGTTAACTGATTTTATGACTACCCATTTAAATAGCTTACGGTGAGGTGACATTTGATGTTTGTAAAACTCTTTACAAACATTAGCTGGATTAGGTGGTTGTTAGCAAACACCAATACTTCAAAAATTCTTTGTGATAGATGGCATTGATATGGGCCCAGACTCCAACCACAGGGAGGCTCCTTGAGGCGCTTTTTGTGCCCATTTTACAGATTCAGAAACAGAAGGTCAAGAGAAGTAAAGCTTTCAGCTGGGAGCTTGTCCAAGGACAAGGCTACCCTGCCCACTTGCCGACTAGCGATGGAAGCAGATTCACTTCAATTTGATCAGGTTTGCAGAAAGGCTACCACTTCTCCGCCGGGTGTTTGCGTCACCCCCCCCCCCCCAGTCATTGAGAGGTTGCAGAATGTCGGGGGGAGAAGGGGCGGGGAACAGACAGCCACTTGCTTGTCCCCGCCCACTGACCCAGTCTACACCATCTCGGATTTGGCAGGATATTGGGTCGGTGACGGTGTTGGCCATGTCGTTGCCACGGCCCAGGCTTCCTAACAAGGGCATGCTGTATTTGCAGATATCCTGTCCAGTCTCAACTCGCCTGCTCTGTTTGGGGACCAGGACACGGTGATGAAAGCCATCCAGGAGGCCCGGAAGATGAGAGAGCAGATCCAGCGGGAGCAACAGCAGCAGCCGCACAGCATGGAGGGCAAGCTGGCCTCCATGAACAGCACCGGCCTAAACAACTGCAGGAGTGAAAAGGTAAGAGGGCAAGAGGAGACGCGCGATCACACCTGCTTCGGCCGGGACTCCTGGGCAGCCGTGAAGGCGACCTCTGGCCACAGGGTGCCCACACCCGTGTCCTCGCGCCAGGCGAAGCTTTGCTCTCCCCCTGGCTTCATGAGCCTCTCACCCTGGGCCCACCTGACTCTCTTTGGGATCGCTGATGTGGGTTTGTGGCATTGTGGCCTCAAGCCCAAGAGTTCCAACAGAACCTGGAAAACCCAAGACCCCCCCCCACAAAAAAAGAAAAAAGCGGCCTCACACAGTTTTTCCACAGGCAGCGCCCGCTGGAGCTTGTACACGTGTGCTAATAGCCTCTTCTGAAGGCTTGGAGCTGCAGCATTGGGGGCAGGTCCCCATCCCCTTCCCACTCCTACCCGGACTCTCTTAAGTTACTTAGTATATCAAGGGATGCTGTGGCCCAGAGGTCTAGGCTGCGGGCTCAATGTATCTTGGTCACTTTGACCATGAATTTTCAAGACAACAGTGGACACTTTATTATCTGTAGGTTTCCGGGACATACCTTTTCTTGTGCCTGATTGGCCAGGGGTAGAGGGAAGAGAAGGAGTCCCCCAAGACGAGTGTCCCCCAGCTTTCTAGCCTCCCTGTCACTGGCTGCCTGAGCTGTCGGTTCATATCAGGTCAGCCAGAGTGTAGCAATTAAAGACGATGGGTGGCTGACAGATCAGCCAGTCGGTGGCATTGATGGAAGGACAGAAGGAGGGAGGGAGGAAGGGCAAACAGTTATTGCCCGCCTCCCACTTCTTCTCCTCTTCCCCCCTCCGCTAAACATCTGTGTGCACTCTGTCCTGCTACCAGGGTTACATCAGCAGACAGTTTCTTTTGACAGGCCTGGGGAGATGTGAGAGGGTAAAAAGCAGATATTCTTATCTACTCACTGGTATTAGCCACTGACTTCTCAGCATTAATTCAATTCAACAACAACAGCAACAACAAATCATCAAAATTTAATGTGTGCTGGAGATACAAAGACAAACAATCTTTGCCCTCGAGGAACTTGTACTCAACTAGGGGGAATCGTGGGTTTGTTAGATCTTTTGCTGTGAGTAGGTTTTGATGAGGTAACAAAAGGAAAAGGGAGAAAGGTACAAGGATCATGCCAGTCTGGCTTGGAGGTGCTGGAGAGATAAGGGGAGGAGATCATAGCACCAAGTCATGGAACTGGTATGGAAAGAGAAGACTTGGGAAGGTATACGCTTCATTGGTTTCCCAAGGTTTCCCAGCTCTGGAAAGAGTTGGAAGGGGAAGTTGGTAGTAGCCTCAACGTAGCCCTATTAACCTATTTTTAAAAAATCCTCTCATCTGCTGGAGTAGTGCTGATTGAGCTGTCTAGTATGCCCTGGTTCTCAATAGATATGTTGCTAAATCAACAGTTTGCAAAGTGCTTTCTTCACAGTTCTGTTAGATGACTAAAACAAAAACCATCATCCGCATTTGACATATAAAGAACTCAGAGAGATGCAGTTAACTATAGTCACACATCTAAGAACCGTCGGTTACAGGTTTTGAACCAAGTTCTTCCAACACCATGCTTTCTTCTTCACATATCCCCATGTTCTTACTCTATAGGAAGTCTTATTTGATTCAGATGACCAAAATTATCATTGCATAGTCTAAAGGGATGCTGCCTTAGGCATTTTTTTTGGTGGGAGGGAAATACATATACTTGTTTTATTTATGTTCTTTAAAATGGAATATGTGTAGATGATGATTTGATTTGGACAAAAACTGAAGGTAATTCAGTGTCATGATCAGAATTCAGTTTTCAAGCATGGCACACACTGTGCGGAGTTGAATCTGTGGTTTGGACCCCATGTAGTCAGGCAAACCTCTGTCCTCAGGAGTGAATTGGTGTTAGGCTGGACCTGCCTTCAAGTTCATGATTCTGCCTTGGTCAGATACCACAATCCTGTGACTCTAAAGACTCATGCACAGTTGGAATGGAAAAGAAGCAGCAGCATTGGCAGGATCCAATTTGAATACTGTAAGCTAATTTCAAGTTTCTTTTCATATGAATTTTGTCTCATTCATCTAAGAGAACAGGAGTTCTTAAACCAGGGCCCACCAATGCCCTAGCAGATGTGTGGATAGATTTCAGGGGTTTCATGAACTTGGATGGAAAAAAAGAAAACTAAGTTTTCACTAAAATTCATGCTATTTCCTTCGATTATTTAAAAAACATTATTTTGAGAAGGTGTCCATGAGGCTTCACCAGACTGCCTAAGGGGTCCATGACCCCATATCTAGACTACATATAGACCATAAGAACATGGGATCCTGTAATTCTGAAGATTTTATTTTGGAAGGAATAGATAGAGGCAGAAGAGAGTGGGAGGTGAGGGATGATATTCTGCTTTTCCCACTCCCAATTATATTCTTAAAACACACTTAAACCTGACATTTTGATGTTTTATATACATAAAACCCAAATTTGTCCCAAATGTGATAAATCTATACATATACATTTATTACATATCCGTATAATGCATGTATATGTATCTATAATATGCTTTCATGCATATATGTGTCTACAAATATATTTACCCCTGGAGATGTTACAGTCTATTGGACAAATCCATATTTTGGCACTTTAAAATGAAAGATTTTTGGCCTGCTAGGCGTTCTGGTTGGCTGTGTCCCCGGGTGTTTAGGGATTGTAGCTTGTAGGCACAATAGACTGTAACAGCACCTTTGGGAGGGGTTCTGCTCCATGGTTGCAGGGTGGTGTGTGCCCATGGATTGGGAAAGGCCTGCCAGCATAAAGTACTTTTGGAAAAAGTGACGGGTCAGGTCTTCTTTGCCATCTCAACCAACAAAATTCCACCATTGCAAGCCCAGTTCTAACTCCTCTAACTCCTTAGATCCCACTCAAAGTGAAACTGCTTCCCAAATTTTTCCGTTTTGTCACCTGATCTACAGAGTATTTTATGTATGACGATTCAAGGTTGAGTTTTCAGTTTCTTGCTCCTGCGTCTTCTGCAGAGACAGAACTAGGACCCACCATTTGGAGGGAGGTGAGAAGCTAGGCCTTGGTGGCGAAAGAGCAGGGGTTATTAGCAGGGTCACTTTGGCTGAGGGCACCTCTCACGCTTGGATGGACAAGTTTTCTACGTATGTGTGGATGGTCAGATGACGAGGAGTCTTCTGGTAATAGTCATCGTCATGACCTGACTCAGGTGTGGGCCTGGGCATAGTCCCATTGCTGAACTGAATGAATGTGATTTGAGACTCCAGGACGCACTGTTTGGGGGTGGCAGAGAGGAGGTGGGGGTCCCTTGTCTCATCACGTCATCATGTCATCCACTTCCACTAGAGGACTAGACTGCTTTTGCATCCTTGCTGCCTGACAAAGACGCTTAGAGAGATTAGAGTCAAACAACTGCAGAGTGGGAAGGAATTGGAGAAATCATGTAGTGTGATTCTATTTTTTGTTGTTGTTGTTGTTGAGTCCAGTCCAACTCTCCATAACCCCATCTGGGGTTTTCTTGGCAGAAATACTGGAGTGGTTGACCATTTCCTTCTCCAGCTCATTTTACAGATGAGGAAACTGACTTGCCCAGGGTCACACAGCTAGTAAGTGTCTGAGGCTGGATTTGAACTCAGGAAGATTAGTCTTCCGGACTCCAGGCCCAGCACTCTGTGCACTATGGTGCCACCTCGCTGCCCCATTCCATTTTTACAGATACAGAAATTGAGCCTAATTTGCCCCAAGTAACATGGGTACTTTTCATCTTTGACCCTCAGTTTTCTCATCTGTGAAATGGGAATATAACATTTGTGCTATCTACCAGGAGTCAGGAAGTCTTGGTTCAGATTTGATCTTGGGCACTTACTAGTCATGTGGCCCTGGGCAAGTGACTTAATTCCTGTTTGCCTCAGATTTCTCAACTGTAAAATAGGGATAATAATAGCATCTACCTCCCAGGGTTGTTGTGAGTATAAGATGTGATAATAATTGTAAACTATTTAACACAGTACCTGACATATAGTAAGTTTTATATAAATGGTAGCTATTTTTATATTTCTTATAGAAATGTTAGATGATATTGTTATGTTGTTATATCAGCCTCCTGGTCTTTTTTGAAGGCATTCTGTGTGAAATGGTCCCAACACGAGGCCCTATGCCGCTGGGTTTGTAAAGTGCTTTACATTTCATCTTATTTGATTCTTACAACAACCCTGAAAAGAAGCTGTCATTGTTATTGTCAGTTTATGAAGGAGGAAACTGAAGCAAACAGCAGGGAAGTGACTTCCCCAAGGTGATATGGCTGATAAGTGTCTGAGGCAGGATTGAACTGCATCTCCCTAAGTCCAAGTCCATCATTCACAGTGCCCATGTAAAGGACAAGAGTTTGTACTTCTTTTATATGAAATGTTCTCCTACTTCTGTGATTCTAGTCCCATGACTCTCCTTTGAGCCTCAGTTTCTTCATCACTTATGAGACGCTACACTAGCTGGACCTTGGTTTCTCTCAGCATTAAATCCTATAATTGAAAAGACAGAATTAATCAGCTGGGATTTTTTTAATGCCTACTTTTCTGTATGAAGAATGACAAGGAAAACACCCAGCTAGTATCTCTTTAAGACTTCCTTCACCATCTTGGAAGGTGCTATTGGGCAAATATCATTTCTCTCCTTTTTACAGATGAGGGGAACAGGAGGCACAATGAGGGTGAAGTTACTTGCCCAGAATCACACATGTAGTAAATAGCAGGATTTGAACCCAAGGCCTCTGAATCCAAACCCAGTGTTCTTTCTCCTTTGTGGTGCTGTATAGGCTCACCCTGGCAAAGGGATAGTTCGTCGTCCTTATGCGGAGTTTAAAAGAGAAAAAATAGCTAAACCCTGAAGTTCCGTAGCCTAGGCCTGCCAATTCCAGGAGGAACCATTTATTTTCTGAAAATGCAGAAGTCTCTGCCTCTCTCGGGTCTGTCATCCTCACCCACTGGGCTCGCTC